CTTTAACAATATGAAGAGCTTTAAACAGAGCCGGCACTGGAGAACATCTCCGAGAGTCCACCAGAAGCGTTAGACCGAGCCGCCTACATTCGTGACTGTAAAAGAAGACAACAAAAGGATCTCATGTGATGGACTGGATTCCAACCAACAGCCAAAGCAGACTCTTTCCAAGCAATATTCATTTTGCAGCGACAGAACATGTACAATTCAAAGGAGAACTATGAGGCGAGTGAAAATCACTCACCTCATAGTTCGAGCCGACCTGTGACACTGAAACTGTCACAGGTCGGCTCAATAGATCGGGAAGTGAGGGAACACATACCGTCGCTCGCGCACTTCTCGATCCTGTCCCTGCAGAGAGCCGTGACCGTCACTCATGGCTCCCTGCAGGGATTCCCCCCTCTTCCCCTGTCCGATCCTCCAGCGCTGACTGGCGTAACGGACGGGGGAGGGGGCGGGTACAAATGGCTCTGTCTCTCTGCCGCAGCTGGGTGGATCCAGACAGTAATTGTCAGCATCCGTCCCGGCTGCGGCGTCTCAGTATACCGCGAGCTGTAGCTCGCGGTATACTGAGCTTTGGGTGACGGGAGGACGCTTGTTTGTGTCCTCCTCTTACCCTTAGAAGAACTATGGGGAAAAGCCCTGACCCCATAGCTCTCCTTTAAATGCAACAATACACGTAAATAGAAAGTAAAGTAAACCTTCATAGTGTAATCATCCTGACTAAAGAAGAACTCCAGACACACCCTTAGGTCTCGTTCACACCTAGGCGTATTGCATATGCGCGTCTGTCGCTCGACCGTCGCGCATTTTTTTACCGCGGTTCGCGGTAAAAAAGTTGCGCGACCGTCGCGCGCTTCCGAAGGTTACTTGTCTGTATCCCAATGGAAACGCGCAACAAAACGGCCCAAAGTAGTACCTGTACCTTTTCAGGCGTGGGCCGTTTTGTAGCGCGTTAGGGATGGGCGGAAATACGCCAAGGTGGGAACGAGACCATTGAATACAATGGGATTTATATTTTTGAGCGTTTTGTAGAGCGTTCGTTGAGCGTAGAACGCGCTACAAAACGTTCAGGTGTGAACGAGGGCTTACAGCAGCCTCATAGCACAGCAAGTTACAATTGTATACAAAAAAACTCCAATCCCATCTGACAAACCACTGAGTGATGGAAACAATCTTCTGTAGGAGATATTTTTTCTGCCAGAGCTGCACAGAACTTTAGATTTGTGGAACCGGTGGTAGCCATGTTAGTAAGTCATGCCACCGCACACAAAGCTACAATGGTACATCAGATGCATCAAACTGAAGCTCTGCTGAAACTTGCAAATTCAGAAGTGCAAAATGTGTGACATGAAATATTTGATTCTGAATTCTAACCTGTTGTGCAGCAATACACAGGCCAGACCACCAATCCATAGAAGACACTTCTTCCTCCTGGTATCTTGCGGCCAGGCCAGTTTACCATAAGGTGCCCGCCAGTGAAGGGCGTCCATACTCTGAAGCACAAACCAGAATCCCAGTCAGCGCACACCAATGACATCACTGTGTATAACCCGTGTTATGGAAGCTCCAAATCGTGCCGCACAGTCCCACCTCTGGTCCGCCCTCCAATGTGTTTTATCCTACATGGGCTTAATCAATGGAAGGGGCAGACCAGAGGTGGGACTGTGTGGCACTGCTGAAGTTTCAATGAAGTTGATTTTACACAGCGATGTCATTGGTGTGCAGCAGACTGGGATTCTGGCCATGTTACCACCTCGCCCTGTTTCTTATTACATTTCCCATTAGTACATGTAATGCCGCAGGAGATGTGGGAACACCCCAAGATGGGTAGGAAACAGAATCAAAGTCATGGTTGGGACATCTCTCCTCTGGCCTCCACAAGAGCTATAGTAAGCCAGATAAGAACTCGACCCGCCAAACTACACCAATGATCAAGATATCATTTTCAGATGGACTGCTTTTTTAAGGTTGATCTCCGGGAAAACATCTCAATACGCTAATGCATCCACTATGGGAGCTGTTTTGCCTGGCAAAGGATGTGTATTCCTGCCCATCCAATCCCGATATCTGCACAGTGCTGCCACACACCACAGCCCTGTGTGGCAGGTCAGAAGACCTAATTTTACTCTGCTGTAATTTAGTAACACATACAGGTCAGCACTGCAGCATCAATGATTGGATCCTTGTGCTGCTTCTTCCTTTCCCAGTCTGAGCTCCGCTGTCCAAGGGATTACTAGAGGATGTTGCTGCTCCACAGAAGTTCTGTAACACTTACAGGTTTCCTCTCCACCCCCACTCCGTGATTGGATACTGAATAGAGAAGCAGCAGACTGATGAGCTCATCTATCTCCTCCTATCAGCATGCGTCTGGCACTGCAACACATCTTGTGTTGCTTGTCCTTCTCCCAGTCTGAACTCTGCTGCTCAGAGACTAATTCCAAGTCAAATTTATGTACTTAAATATTGATTTAATGATGTTTTAGTGAATACAGAGCTGCATTTATTTGGATATTTATATCTGCATGGAGTTCAGGTATAAAAGCTCAGCTGTAGCCAAGACACTTTGTCATTTTCAACAGAGTGGGTACGAATCAGAATCCCTGTTGAGCTTCTATTCCTGCCTCAGTCCTCTGTGCAGAGGATACAACCCCTGTTTCCTTTCTTAGAGACAACAGGACAAGGAAGGAGATGGTAAGGATGAGGGTGTCACAAGAAAGGGAGACAATGACAGACATCTGTGGTAACCCCTCTCCTAAGTAAATGCGTTTTTGTTCTGGGCTTTGACCCCATCAAAGAGATGCAACACCCTGCCATTGGGACAGGTAATGAGGGTGAGGCCTCATTCACATTGGCAGCAAGGGGGCAGCAAAACCAGGCAGTTGATCTGCGGTTTACCGTGCCCCCAGCTGCCCGCTGCAATGCAAGCACTTTGACCAAACGGTGTTGCATAAATTGCCGCGCCCTTGATGCTTTGCAAAAACAAACCTCATTTAAATGTCACCGATATCAACCAAGTGGTTTTTTTTTAATCTTCTTCCAAAGAAAACAGTAGGGATGGCATTCCACTTACCGCACTGTGCTGTAGAAGTAGAGGAGGAGGCGGCTCAGTTCTGCAGCATTGCAGTGTGGGTTTAGCCACGTAGTGTTCCGGGTGTTAATGACCACCACAGCGCGTCCACTTCTGTCCCGTGTCCCTGAGAGGAGAGGTCAGTTTGTCAGCGTTTCACAAAGCAGAGGAAAAAACTATACTTATATGTAACAATAGAAGTATAACTGACAGTTATCAAACATGTATGACCATCACAAAAGCAAATGGGCCGTTAATGGTTCATATTAAATTCTTTAAAGCTCCTTTTAAAGGATAAGTGCTCTTTAAAACAAAAGGGGGTTATTCACAAAAGTGTGAAGGGCTTGGAGAAGGCAGGAGAAGTGAACAATCTAGGACAACATCGCTGAACTGGAAAGTGAGCTGAATTGAAGAATTTTTCCATTTCAGCCATGTTGGCCTAAATTGTTCACTTTTCCTGCCTTCTCCAAATTCCTCGCCCTTTTGTGAATATCCCCCAAAGTGTCTTTATCCTTTTGGCCCCTTTAAGATGATTCAACCAACCCCTCATTCCCCCTGCGTTGAATAATTACTCGAATGGGCCCCCGGCCTTTACTAGGTTACATCCTGCAGCAGACGTCTCGTTCTCCAGTCCGCACCTGCGCAGGGTATCCCATTGACTTCTGTGGGGCTTCTGTACCTATGACTCCCGAACGGGGAGATGAAAACCTATAGAAGTCCTGAAGACTTGCTTTCTAATGCACATTGTGAGAAGCTCTCAGTATGCAGTGAAATCAGAGGAAGCCATTTAAGTCCAGGAGAGGAGCCGGTACAACTCTGCAAGACTGAAGGGAAGGAAAGAGTTCAGCTTTAACCCCTTCATGACTGAGGCCCTTTTTTCAATTTTTGCACCCATGTTATAATGCACTCCCATTGACCAATATAGGGGAGACGCAGTTCTAGCACAAACTAAAACCCATCAGGACAAGTTCTTATACTGCACTGACCTTCCATTTTTTTTAATGTTCATTTTATAGGCCCTCCTGAGGAGAAATCACAAGAAAAGTGCATAAAAGCAGCCATGCATCTCTATAGGGATGAATAGATTGGGTATTAAAGTCAGGTTAGTGAAGTGAAATACCCAGTACGTCTTGGAATGGGGTTACAATGCGACTCTCTTCCCATCCTCCTTGATGGGCCCCCACGATGTGGGGGCCCATCAAGAGTGTCCTTAGCCTTGTGTAAGCTCTAAGCAGAGTAAAGTCGGGCTTACACAAGATCTTTGTGACTCAATAGGGAAAGGGAACGCCATAGGCGTATCAGCCTGTGACATTTGACTCGGTAACTGACTCAGAATGCTTTTGCATGGATTCCTGCTGTTCCCTTTGCTGCCTGAACGATGCATGTCTGTCATCGCTACCAAGGGTCTGAAGCCATGGATAGCGTTGACAGGGTGCAGAAGGAAGCAGGAGGTAAATGGCAGGATTGGCAAGTATTTCCTGTTTCTAAAACCGATAAAACAGGAGGCAAAAGTCAACAAAAATAAACTTTACACTAAATAAAATGCCTTTTTAAAAAAAAACTTTTCATATATAGCTTAATGATCTATAAATGAACACAGAGCTGCACTGATTTGTGTCTTTTACATCTGCGTGGACTTCTCCTGTAAGGTGAAGCAGAGGAAATAAAAGCTCACCTGGTAAATATATCACCTCACTCATCAAAACCTCCAGGTTCACATGCATGACCCGTGTAGGCAGGCTTTGGCCTTCAGTCCTTCGGGAGACCATTGGGGAACTCAGTCCGGGCTGCCATGATGGCGGCCGATCTTTTTCATGTGCGTTTTCTGGTGTCTTCTCCTCCACCTCATCGGTGTGCTCTGTAAAAAAGGAGCCCCAACATGACTCATTTCCAAAAAGGCCTCCATAGTCTCTTTGCACATCTATAAAAGTTTAGTCCGAAACTTAAACAAAAGCTTATTCATCGTCCCGCACCTAGATCTTAGATGGTTTACATTTCTTATCATTACGAGACCTCGTTGCTTATCCAGGTGGCGTAATAATAGATCTCCTAAGCGCTGCCAGCTCGTGGTTACATCGCCAATTGAAGAACACAATGTTTGTTCAGTCTGAGTAATACATTTTAAATCGTATGTTTTCTTAACAGCACGACGAAGTACTACTTATATCAATAACATAAGTCCATTTTATTAGTTTAGGGAGAGTTCCCTTTCTGCCTACAGTTGACGGTTACTTGTGAAGAAATTTGAGCTTTTGTTGCCGTCTTGGCACTCTTCCCCACCAGCTCTCAATTTAGAAAAAAAGGGAAATATCTAAGCCCCCAATATATACAAAGTGGAGTGTTCCCTGGTCTTCAAGATGTGTGGTCAGAATGATGGATCCATAGGTTTGGGCATGGAAAAAAAAAAAGAGAAAAAAAAAAGAGCAGGGAAAAAGGGGGGTAAAAGGGAAGAGAAGGGAAAAAGGGGGTAAAAGAGAAGAGAAGGGGAAAAGGGGGTAAAAGAGAAGAGAAGGGGAAAAGGGGGTAAAAGAGAAGAGAAGGGGAAAAGGGGGTAAAAAGGGGGGAAAAAGGGAAGGGGTGCAAAGGGTCTAAGCCCCCCTAGATCAAAGAGAAGCATTCCATGGTCTATCAGGTCCACGGTGTGGGGTCAGAATTATGGATCAGAATGGTTTGGACATGGACACAAAATTTAGAAAAAAAAAAAAGAATAAAATAATAAAGTCTAAACCCCAAAGATAAAAGGCGGAGGGTTCTCTGGTCTACGTGGTCCAAGCTATGGGGTCAGGATGATGAATCAGAAGGTTTGGGCACGGACACAAGTTTAGAAAGAAAAAAAGTTTAAGCCCCCAAGATAAAAGCGCAAAGTTGTCTTTGAGCTTCTGAAAAGCGTTGGCCAAAGGTCCTTAGTAAAAACTGACCAATCTTCTGATATTTTGAATCCAGTGCCTCATTTCCACAAGAGCACATCAACACTCAATCAAAAAACAAGAAAGCTTTAGGCTTAGGATACAGTAAAAAAAAAGTGTATACACAGGTAGATTTCCCAACGATCGCTCGTATGAAAAATCCCGTCGGAAGGTTCGATAATTCCACCAAAGACTTTGCGATTGTCGTTCAAAATTCCATTTGAGGTTCGTTTTCATTTAACATGCGATTTTGGAATGAATGGAGTTTTTCCCGAATGAATTTTGTTTGATCGAGTAAAAAATTCCAACATGCTCTGAAAATTTTTCATCACAGCGGTTGAAATCCATGATCGATTTGACCCCCCATCAACGATTAGAAAGTTGAACGAAAGTTCCGAAAACGATTGTTGGAAATTCTACCTGTGTATACCTTACTTCACCGAGGACTGTGAGGTGCCAGTAAAATTTATGAAATTAACATTTTGATAATATAATTTTTATAATAAGAAATTAAACACAATTAAAATAACTTATGTAATATAGTGAACATGTTGGGCAGGAGCTGCTGCAGAGCCATTGGCAAGGACAGATGTGCCGTATTCAGGATACCAGTGGCTCTCCAACTACCATGAATCTGGTTAGCTGACACTTGTAGTTCCCCCTTTGATGGGTAATGAATGGCAGTAGATGCCAATGACTGGCTTAGACTTACAGTAAATTCAGGAATGCAGTTTCTGGAACAGTCTTTTTAGGTGACGCATTACACCCACAGCTTTGTGACACAGAGAGTGACAATGACCTTTCAGGGAATTACTAACTCCCACCTATTCACAAAATCCACGTACACCTTCTGTTTATAGCGTCCTTCCTTTCCAAATAAATTCTCCCTATCACATAAATTATCACTAACACATAACATACAGGAAACTGCACTTAGAAGAATTAGTATAGTGCCCAGCTGATAAAGGCCAAGGAATTTGTATATTTACATTGCATTGATTTTACTTATGCAGAATATATTTTTAGCTCAGTGGCCTTCTGCACCAAATGAATCAACCAACAGGTCCCACTTTGCTGCTGGAACCCTTCTGGGAACCTTTGCTACTCCTCAATGTACCATCGGAAACCCCTTCCTACCATACTCCTCCCCTGCTACCCATCCTCCCCACTGCACAGCTTCCTAAGATTCCCACATACCAACCCCTCCCCGAAACAACATTGCTCCCAGAGGTCCCCTTCTGCCAGCCTCTAACCCCACCAGCACTGCCCCGTGAAACCCCTTTCCCCAACAGCATTGCTCCCACAGCACCCCCTCCCTGCAACCCCTTCCCCCAACAGCATTGCTCCCACAGCACCTTTCCCCAACAGCATTGATCCCACAGCACCCCCTCCCTGCAACCCCTTTCCTCAACAGCATTGCTCCCACAGCACCCCCTCCCTGCAACCCCTTTCCCCAACAGCAATGCTCCCACAGCGCCCCCTCGCTGCAACCCCTTTCCCCAACAGTAATACTCCCACACCGCCCTCTCCCTGCAACCCCTTTCCCCAACAGCATTGCACCCACAGCACACCCTCCCTGCAACCCCTTTCCTCAACAGCATTGCTCCCACAGTACCCCCTCCCTGCAACCCCTTTCCCCACCAGCACTGCTCCCCCACCGCCCCCTCCCTGCAACCCCTTTCCCCACCAGCACTGCTCCCCCACCGCCCCCTCCCTGCAACCCCTTTCCCCACCAGCACTGCTCCCCCACCGCCCCCTCCCTGCAACCCCTTTCCCCACCAGCACTGCTCCCCCACCGCCCCCTCCCTGCAACCCCTTTCCCCACCAGCACTGCTCCCCCACCGCCCCCTCCCTGCAACCCCTTTCCCCACCAGCACTGCTCCCCCACCGCCCCCTCCCTGCAACCCCTTTCCCCACCAGCACTGCTCCCCCACCGCCCCCTCCCTGCAACCCCTTTCCCCACCAGCACTGCTCCCCCACCGCCCCCTCCCTGCAACCCCTTTCCCCACCAGCACTGCTCCCCCACCGCCCCCTCCCTGCAACCCCTTTCCCCACCAGCACTGCTCCCCCACCGCCCCCTCCCTGCAACCCCTTTCCCCACCAGCACTGCTCCCCCACCGCCCCCTCCCTGCAACCCCTTTCCCCACCAGCACTGCTCCCCCACCGCCCCCTCCCTGCAACCCCTTTCCCCACCAGCACTGCTCCCCCACCGCCCCCTCCCTGCAACCCCTTTCCCCACCAGCACTGCTCCCCCACCGCCCCCTCCCTGCAACCCCTTTCCCCACCAGCACTGCTCCCCCACCGCCCCCTCCCTGCAACCCCTTTCCCCACCAGCACTGCTCCCCCACCGCCCCCTCCCTGCAACCCCTTTCCCCACCAGCACTGCTCCCCCACCGCCCCCTCCCTGCAACCCCTTTCCCCACCAGCACTGCTCCCCCACCGCCCCCTCCCTGCAACCCCTTTCCCCACCAGCACTGCTCCCCCACCGCCCCCTCCCTGCAACCCCTTTCCCCACCAGCACTGCTCCCCCACCGCCCCCTCCCTGCAACCCCTTTCCCCACCAGCACTGCTCCCCCACCGCCCCCTCCCTGCAACCCCTTTCCCCACCAGCACTGCTCCCCCACCGCCCCCTCCCTGCAACCCCTTTCCCCAACAGCATTGCTCCCACACCGCCCCCCTCCCTGCAACAGCATTGCTCCCAGAGGTCCCCCTCCTGGCAACCTCCTTTCCCCCATAGCACCACCCCAGGAAGTCTCTCCCTGCCATTGCCTTTCCTTAACACCGCTGCTCCTGGGAGGTCCTTACTGCCCCCCGACACGCTACTCCTAGGATTCCCTCTTGTCCCCAGAATGGTCTGGCTTCGCCTTACTCCCTTAATTATACCTTCTCTTTATACACTCCTACCAAACGCCTCCACTCTGCCATGGGCCAAGCCCCTCCACAGTCATACAAGGTTGTGGCGCCATCTAAAAGTCCTGGGAAGCAGGTAAGGCAGGCCTTGAAGGCCATACGCTTAAATTACTTCAACTTTCCTGTTGCTAGTAAGAGCCAAGCAAGATTCTTGTTCCATTCACACTCTGCACTGCTTGAAATCTGGAAACCGATTAGTTGTAACAGGTAATGCAGCATGACAAGCTAGGCAACTGGAATGTCTGGTAAGAAGGGTCATCAATGGCCTCTATGATTACCGATCAGCACAGCTGCAATGTTTGCTGGACAGGATTAGCACACTGCTTTAAAATTTTAAACGGGCATACAAAACACATATTGCTACTGAATAACTGTCTGAAGTGCCAAGACAACCTGGAAGAAAAAAGAGAGAAGGAAGGAAGAAAAAAAGAGAGAAAGAACGAGAGAAAAAGGTAGAAAGAAAGAAAGAACGAGAGAAAAGGGTAGAAAGAAAGAAAGAACGAGAGAAAAAAGGTAGAAAGAAAGAAAGAACGAGAGAAAAAGGTAGAAAGAAAGAAAGAAAGAAAGAACGAGAGAAAAGGTAGAAAGAAAGAACGAGAGAAAAGGTAGAAAGAAAGAACGAGAGAAAAGGTAGAAAGAAAGAACGAGAGAAAAGGTAGAAAGAAAGAACGAGAGAAAAGGTAGAAAGAAAGAACGAGAGAAAGTAGAAAGAAAGAACAAGAGAAGGTAGAAAGAACGAGAGAAGGTAGAAAGAACGAGAGAAGGTAGAAAGAACGAGAGAAGGTAGAAAGAAAGAGAGAAGGAAGAAGTGTAGCTCAGCTCTAAACTTTGTCGATAAAATTCCGAAACCAAAACAGGTCTCCAAACGAGGTCTGATTACGGCATCATAAAGGGAGAGAGGATATTGGACATGGATCTGATAACCAAAGGCTGACTCCACAGCCGATGAGGGGCCAGACAGGATCACCCACAGCTGGAGACTCGGCCAGTTCAGCAATAAAATGAAGCCCCCACCACCAACCCTACCCCCAGCTTTCAAATCATCTCAATGAGTTTTCCATCCCGTCTGCCTCACTGAACGCTTGCAGCCCGCTATGTAAACGCTCCACAGGGTGCAAGAGGATCTGCGAGGTGGAAACTTTTGTCGAGCTCGGTTCTCTCATCCCTCATTGCTCATGGATGAACCTGAAATGTCACAACGCATGGTCCGGGCATATCTCAGCTAGAAGCGGCCCAAAAAAATTACTGTTTACTGCAACTTAACCATTTCGATCAACGTCAGTGACTGCTTCCCTTGCAAAGGACAACCTGCCATAACAAAGACCAAGATGTCATTGCTAACTTCTTTTTGAAGGAAACAAAGGTTAGGGTGGAGTTAGGAGTAAAGCAACAAGATGTAGCTCTTCAAGAGGCAGATCAGCAGTATGGTCTTTGGCCTTGGTTCTCAACTGGTGGGTCGTGACCCAAAAGTGGGTTGTTGCATGCCTTCCACTTTTCTAGGTGAGAGGCTCCCCAGCCTCCCCCTAGCACAGCACTGTCAATTCTGACACTGAGCAGCCATTCAAAATATGCTACCCGGCTCTGCGTGTTGACTTGAGGTGGGGTGGGCTGGGGGTATGGCCGCGAGGGAGCTCCATCCATACATGCATTGCTTATAGCTCCCTCGCATGTCCTGTAGAGGTGCCTGGACCGGAGTAACATCACATTCTGGCTCCAGGCACCTCTACAGGGCACGCATGGGAGCTGTACAAGCAATGCACATATGGATGGAGCTCCTCACAGCGGAGCAGCCCACACTGCCGTGCGTTCCATTGCACTGCTACTTGGGTCTCGACTTAATGATAGAGGACAAATGTGGGTCCTGAGGTTACACAGGTTGAGGACCACTAGTCTATGGGACAGGTACGCTTTACGCCCTTACTTAAAAGAGTCACACTGAGCTGTCACTGTGCTATAGCTGGAGATGTCCTCTGCAGCTTATCACATCTAATTCCCATTCCCTGCAACCCTTGCTGTTTAATAGAATCAACAGCGTCTACTCTCCCTTTAAGAATCTGCCGCTATCAGATTACAGGAGAGGTCAACAGAGTGTGACACACCAGCAGCTGTCACTGAACTCTTTGTGAACGCAGTCTCTGTCCTTCCTACATGAACACAATGCCCTGACCTCTCCTACAACAGACAATGGTCAGGAAGTGACCACATGTATAGGAGCCGTCGGGAAATATTGGAGGACGCTTCTCCGAAGACAAATATATCTCCGCTGATAAGACTCTCTATTCCTGTATGTAAACATGTCATCGCTTTAAAGCCCATCCCAAAATAAAAGTGTATTTTTACGTTCACAATACCCAATACTTTGGTTACTGTAACACAGAAGGATACAAGAGAGATGACCCTGGATGTCCATGGTCATATAAAACCACAAAGCATAGACTATAGACCTATACTATATAGCCCAGATTTGGGGACACCAGCCGTCACACCTAAATGAGGTTGTTGGACAACCCATTCCAAAACCATGGCCATCAATATAGAGTTGCCCCCCCCCACTCTGTGCCGGACACTCCAGTTCCTCCACACCAAACTAATTAAAACCATGTCTTTATGGAGCTGGGATACCAAAGTGCAATCATCTAAAATGTCTGTGCTGAATAGTACCTTATAGCAGCCTCTTATCACAAGATCCCATAGTGTGCAACGTCCATGTCAGGCTCCAATGTATGTACGGTTGCAAAAGGCTCCAAGCATTTTGGGTGGACTGAAACTTTAAAGTCCAATACATGGCAAAAAAAACAAAAACTACCCCTGCAGTAGGGCTACCCCCACATTGCAAGGGTTAAGTGCTTGTCTATGCCTAAGGGACCGGAGTAAAGCACTTACCTGCCCACCTCGACCTAACCACTGAACCTTCACATTCTCAAATAATTCATTCCCACAGTACCTCCATATGTATCATTTCCCCCTCCTCTTTCAGATTGTAAGCCCTCAGGGGCAGGGCCCTCCTTACCATCTTGTCTTGAATTGTATTGTAACTGTAATGTCTTCCTTATATTGTAAAGCGCTGCGCAAACTGTTGGCGCTATATAAATACTATGTAATAATAATACCTGCTCCCCACTCCCCCGGTAGTCAGCGCTCACCACTGTGCCCACTGTTCTGGCTGGTGGAATGTCCCTTGGTGCCCTTACATCTAATGCAGGTTCATGGAATCTGTATTCAGTGGTCCCTAGACCGCCAGAGTGAAGGGGAGAAGAGGCTGCGGGGACCGGTCTAACAGTCCAGAGGGAGCAGGGATCAAGAAAGTGAAATAGCTTTTTCCTGTACCCTGGGCATAAACTAGCACTTAACTCTTGCAGCGCAGGGGGCAGCCACACTGCAAGGTCAGTTTGTTGGTTTGCCTAGAGATGGGATTTAACTACTAACAACTAAAGAAGTTAAAAGCCTGGATAAAATAAAAAAGACAGACGCACTCCGTAGTGTGTTCCTCCTGAAGTTAATTGCCATTAGTTTCTTTTATGTTCGTCTGGCGTGCACCTTGACAATCCTAATATAATTTGTAAGGGCGTGATACCACTACTCCCTCACATATAATCAAAAGACGTCAAACATCAAATATTTTGCAGACGGCTCTGCGTTTGTTGTGTGCCTTTTGCGTTGCAGTACACATGTAGTAAACTGATGACTACCTCCAGTAAGAGACACGAGGGCTGTACTAGAAAAGCTGCAATACAGCCAAAAGAGTCAAAGGGGATTCCCGCCTCCAGCTTATTGCAGCTTGATGTAGTATTAAACCCTCCTCTCGCGGTGGGAATACATGTGCCATCATCTATGACCGCAAAGTGCATGTGTGACCAGCAGGATTTCAGCTGCCAACCAATCCCTGGAGGAGGAGCAGGGGTGGAAGCCAATCCTGAGGTTCTGAGCTGCCTGTGTGTGTTGGGGAGGGGACCATCGCCACATCTGTAATGCCGGACAGGGGTGCTCTCAAGGGGGACTATGGCTGGGCTCCAGGGGACTCTGGAAGGTAACCCAGCCACCCCAAAAATGGAAACAGAGGACGTCGAAATTTTAAAGGCAAATTGCAGAGGGGCTTCGTTAGAGACTTCCTATTACTTCCTGTTTTGGTGACAATGGTTTCACCAGGCAGAAAATTAGGGAAAATAGCCAAACGCAACGCAGACAGGAAAAAATGCTTTTTTTTGGAAGTGGAAGGCCAGAACCACTGTTATTGCACACAGTTTGTTATTGCTCTTGTCCCTGTTGCAAATTTTTCCTGCAACAGGGGGGGGAAATCTCTCCGATTTAGCTCCACATAGCAGTAAAAATTTGATGGGGGTTCTAATTCTTTCGCACTCTATCTAGATTTGGCTGGACATACACTTGAAGGTACAGATGAGTGTATGCACACCAAAGCAAAGGCTGTAAGTCATGCTGAGACGTGCAGTTCTACAGAAAGTGCTACCCTTAAAAGGGGAGCTGTCAGGATAAAAAAATGAAAGCTGCCGTTGCCAACGTGACTTTCAATGTGCACAGATCTGAGACCGTCATCCATGCTTCACTACTCAGCGAGTCAATGACCCAGAACAAGCATGCAGACAGCGAACTGCAAGGACACCCAAGATGCTCATACTAGTTCTAGGTCAGTGACACACTAATAAGCGAGATACCTGCTCTTCTAACCCTAAAAAAGGGGATACTGTGGACCCCCGAAACGCATTGGCTGTTTTTGTTCAATTGATCTTTATACATTTAAAAAAAAAATCAAATTGGACTCTACCACCTGCAATGGCACCCCCTTTTGTTCTAGATCTGGTTTCATAAAGTAGTGAGGCAGCCTGGCCCTTTAGAATTAAGCTAGCAATGGCAATTCCAGTATTTTTTTCCCCCCCCATTGACTTTAAAGTAGTATTAAGGTCTGGGCGTTTTTTTAGCTTAATGCATTCTCTGCATTAGGGTAAAAACGGTCCAGCACCTTTTTATGCACGGGTGCCCACATTAGCCGATGGAGGCAACCGTGCAGGGGGAAGATTGCTGCGGCGACCCACTAGAAAAGGAGGAATTAAAAACTTTTAAAGAAAAACGGCAACAGCCTCAAGCAAAGGTCTGGAATTTTTTTTTAAAAAGGAAGCTTTAATATCACTTTACGGGACATTTTTTTTTACTTTTTGTTTTTCACATTTATCCATTTTTAAATCCTGTAAAAAAAAAAAAAAAGCATCAGCTTTATATATTCATGTTACATATTAAAGACCCAACAAAATGTCCCTGCCAAAGCCGCATTCAGAGACGTGACCACCTCTTCAATGGCGGGTTCTGTGGTCTCAGCCCGGGGTTCTGTGGTCTCGGCCCGGGGTTCTGTGGTCTCGGCCCGGGGTTCTGGTTCCTCGCCCTGCTCTTCCTCTGTGTCCTCGAGAAGAGTTTCCAGAGGTAACTGTGATGATGGAGATAAAAGGCAGCTGGTGTTTTGTGGACAACTGGACAAAGAGCCATCTCTCTCAACGCACGGCTGCGATTCCTGTTCATGCCTTTCCTCGGTCTCCTCAGCTGCATCAGTTGTGGCGCCATAAATCTTTAAACTGTCAGCTCCTTCGAGCTGCTCACCACAAATGTCACTGGCAAGGTCATATTGTCGGTCTACCTCTGCTTGCACATTTTGGTCACTAGTATCTGAAGGACAAGGCTGCTGATCAATAACTGGCTGATCACACTTGTCTGTAACATCTACTTCCGCATGGATTTCGTCTGCGTTGGTCTCCTTTAGGTGTTCCTCCCGTTGGGTCTCGTCTACTAATAGAGGCACAGTTTGGTCGCGCTCCCCAGTTTCGGCCTGGTGTGCACAAGTTTTAGAACTCCCTTGGCTAGAACATTCCATGGTCTCAGCGTTTGGATACCCTGGTGTCCTGGAATGCTCAGTAACAGGTTCTTGAGCAGCATCTGTCAGTTCGCCGTCCTCGATGCTTTCTCTCAAGTGGTTTTGGGTTCCCTCCTGGAAGGACGAGTCTACGTAATTAACGGACTCTGAACTTGGCTGTTCGCAGCACTCCAGGCTCTTTTCAGCCGTAATTATATCAGAGTCCTCTCCGTGCTGCAAAACCTTTAAGGAGGCCTCGTTTTCTACACTAAAATCTTGGTAGAAAGGTTTACTTCCGCTGTCAACAATCAAAGCTGTATGGTCAGTCAATGGGGACTCGCGACCCCCAAACTCGATGTCCACCAGGCCAAAAGACTCTGGCTTTTGTGCATTGTCAGCATTGTAGTGTGTTACGCTTGCTCCCATTATAGTGGTTACTTCACAAGGCTCTACAGGGCAGAAAGCGAGACTCTCCGTGCATCTCCTGCTGCCCAGATTACACGCGGTTTGGTTCTTTGGTGCTCTTTGGGTGGCTTTGTTCTGGTGTTTGTAGTTTAAGGCTATAGACTGAGTTAGGGACCCTTTCTGAGGACCAAAACGGGGCAATTGGATATCACGCAGTTCAACATACTCCCCTTCGAGATCACAAGAGTCGTCTGTTTTGGGGTCCAAAGCTTTAACCGCTGGCTCCTCGTCATAGCTGGTGCTTGGTTTCTCGAGAACGGCTGCATCCTCTATAACCATCAAATCTCCCATATGGGGGTCAGATGACCTCCTATTCTCCGGTTCAGAAGGCAATTTCAAGTTCTCGAGAGTTTCTGTTGTCTTCTCAGCAGGTTCTGTTTTCTCTACAAACTCGGGATAAACGACCATATCCCAGGGGACCCTGAAAAGCTGGTCGTCAGAGGTCAGGAGGCAGTTCTCCAGCAAGGCCCCGATCCGCTCGGAGTTGATGAACTCCAACCATTCCACGGTGAAAATGGAGGTGTAGGACACTTCCGGGAGTACCACCTCCTCGACGTTATGTTGGTCTTGTGCCAGGCATTTGAGCACAATCCTCGGGGTCTTCCTCAGATAAGGCACAACCTGAAGGTAGAAGTCTCCGGGTCGAAGGAGTCTCCAGTCAATGGAAGCCAACTGCAGAACAACCTTGTCATGGATGCACAGGGGCCAACCAGCATGTCGGAAGAGCAACCCGCAGTACTGAAGCTGCCGGAGAGGAGAAGAGAGAGAAAATAATTCATCAGCTAAGGTGAAAAACTTAAAGCTATAACCCAGGCTAAAAAATATCGTCCAAGTACCAGAGACATGTGTATTCTTACTCGCCTCTGTGATATTCGTGTGTTTTTCAGATGTGTGCAGTCGCCCAGTATAAAAAAAACTTTTGAACTTTGACAGAAGTTTCCAGTAATACAGACCAGTCACTCCAGCCCTCTTTCCTTGTGCAGGGTGACTGGTCTGTTCTCTGCCCCCTCCTGTAATAAAGACCTGTCACTGCTGCTGTATCAGTGTATCAGCATGCAACTGCCTGGTAGCCCGCATTTTCAGTACAGTGTCCAAGTCTTTCTCTCAGTGGAGTGAAAAACTGGTACAAGTTGCAGCAGAAATAAAGCTGCTTCTACTTACACAGGCCTCCTGCTGTAGCCCCTGCAGGACCCGTTTGGCGGGGATCAGGAAATCGATGAGGTAACTGAGGCCGTCTCCGCGGTAGGTCTTCTCCACCACATCCAGGACCTGGCACAGCACAGTGGCAGCGGTGAAGTCGAAGGGATGGTAGAGGGAGGACAGCGTCTTCTGAATGCAGCTATCTAAAGACTGGGAATCCTGTGGTGGGAGAGACAAGGAGGGGACAGATGGTTAAACTACAGTCTTCACCTCCACAGCTACACTGCCTGAAAACAGTCAGCTCACACCTTTCCAGATCACATACATATACACATTCTTCCCCGTGCATCAGATTTCTAAAGGGCGTACATGGATGCGCTCTAAAGTTCCTTACCTGTCATAAAAAAAGGGGGGGGGGGCTCCAGTTTAAATGGCACCTATGGTCAAAAAATAAATCTATATTTCTATATTGAAGTTCCATAAATTCAATCCCACTCCTAATCACCATATTCATGTAGAAGTCTGTAAGATGAAGATGCCCATAGATGTCCTCAAATACACAATTTCACGAGTTACATTTTTGCCCAAGCACTCATTAGGTTTCTCAACAGCTCCAACTCTCTCAGCTCGGCTTCCCTGAACTTCCTGTTCAGTGTAAGATCGCAAGGGACAGAGCAGTCTCCAACAGTTATCAATGTACTAGATTGGAGAAGGGAGGAGGAGTGCCTTGCCTTGCTGTGTCTTTAGAGCAGACACACACAGATTACTAGCACACACAAGGGTGGCTCCATAGGACTCTGCAAGGGAAAGGAGCCACCCAAAAACAGGATATCAGGGCCAGTGCTCAGGGGACCAGCCGATTCTTCAGATCATCAAGATTCACCATCCATTATACCCAATTTAAATCAGCATTTACAACAGATTACAAACCTTGTGGATTTAATATTTAAAGGTAAAAGGTTGTACACTTATCAATGAAATCTAACCGGCCTCGGCAGAGTGCCAGACATCCACTGAGAAAGAAACTAAAGTCCATACCGCCCCTCTGCGGCACTACTGTGCAGAAACCACAGCATGCATTAGTAAATTCCAGCATGGCCGCCCCTCTGTGCGCACAGATTTACACACAAGGCTTTTAATACATATTTAATAAGATCCCATTCACTAAGCAGATCACATTTACATATGGTTTATTCATAGAAATGGCCTCTAAAAGCTGGTGCTGGGGGGTCAATTACTATTAAAGAACGCTCTTCGTTCACGAGGAGAAAGGAAAGCCGCCTCCGACGCAGATCGGAGTTCAACGGCAGAACGCAATTTGACAGTCGGTGCAGCTGCGCCCGCCGCACACGAACAAATCCTGTAATCTGGTTACGGTTCTTCCCGTTTACTTAGACAATTAAATGGAACGGAGGGGGAGGAGGCGAGACGTCTGCGCGCCACTAAATCAATTGTAATTACTGTCATTTAGAGTCAAAATGATTTCGGGAGAAAGGGGATAATGGGGAGCAGATGAGCAGCGAGGGGAATATGGTGCTAATAAAACAAAATATTATAGACAACGCGTCACCGACTGACCAAAATTCACCCAAAAATCAAGTCTTTTAAATGCTTTTTTTGACTTTGTAGAAATTATTTTTATTTAAAGTGCAATGTACCTTTCACCTTTCCGTTTTACTAATAAGTGTATTGTACCTTTCACCTTTCCGTTTTACTAATAAATGCAATGTACCTTTCACCTTACCATTCTACTATTAAGTGCAATGTGCCTGTCACCTTGCTGTTTTACTAATAAGTGTATTGTACCTTTCACCTTGCCATTTTACTATTGAGTGCAATGTACTCTATCTTTCACCTTGTCGTTTTACAAATCAATGCAATGTACCTTTCAACATGATGGAAAGTTTTACTACTACATGAAAAGTCAATTCCATGGCACAGCCTCCTCCCTCCTTGCACGCCATAGCCCTCCTCTGGGAGTGTCTAATTGCTGTCTATGCTGGCCCAGCTCCTCCGCCCCTCCCCTTACATTCCTACATCACTTTTTATGTAGCAGCTGTAGAATACCACAGAACAGAGGTAGGTCTCTCCTTGTGCAGAGTGACAGGTCTTATACCCACTTCTCTATAACTTTCTGCAGGCACCCTGTAGTACAAGGGTGGGCAACCTTGGCACTCCAACTGCTGTGGAACTACAAGTCTCATGAGGCATTGCAATACTGGCAGCCACACGCATGACCCCCAGAGGTAGAGGCATGGTGGCATTTGTAGTTTCACCACAGTTAGGAGAGGCAAGGTTGCCCACCCCTGCTATGGAATGTCACCTCAATGACGGCTCCAAATCTGCTGGAGCTGCCAACATCACATCCAAAATGGTGGCACCCAGCAGCTTCACAGGGGAGGCTTCTATAGATAAGAAACATGCCAAAAAAATGTTAAATGCTCATATAATCTCATGGAAAGTTTTTGGGTCTTTTTTTTTGTAAACTATTGCTCTGGTGGTGAAGGTTTTAATAAGAAAATTAAAAATAAACTTCACACGGATGTCTGTCGTTCTTTGCCTGAGAACGGGTGTGAGTCAGAGACGGCTCACCCTCTGGGGTCTCCCGGGAGCGGACCTCACTGGGTTAAGCAGACAGGACTGACGAACGGCCCACACGGCCTGCGTCACTGCTAACAAAAGACCCCATTTAACTGCCACAATAAAAAGGCCCATGTGACACAGAGGGACTTCCTTTATAGAAAAAAATCTCTATCTCCACTCCGGCTGTCAAACAATCAGAACGAGCTTTGTGCAATATGATGCTCGGGCACTTCCCCTTCTCAATGGAAACAAGACCTTATCAGCGTTGGAAACGCAACGCTTTCACACGTCAGGAGCCGGCAACGTGGAGTCCGGGAGCTACTGGACCACCAGTGTTCTAACCTGACCAGGCCAAAATATTCCGCTTTGGAGACCCAATGCTTTTTTGCCACATTATGGCTGCACAGGCTTTTGTAGTATTAACCGCGATGAATGATAACATTATCTCCAAAGGTCGTTAATACTTATCTGTCCCGCTTTCCATGTTCTTCCCTACGTCACCCGTGTCCTGTAGTGACGGAGAGACCAGGCATGAAAACACTTTCAGGAGTGTTGAATGCCAAATCCCCCGCTGAGCTCTGTGGTTCCATGCGCCAGCCCCCTATAGGACACAGGTGATGAAGGGCCCAGCGGATGTAGCAGGGCCCTCCTAATCATCTTGCCTTGAATTGCATTGTAACTGTACTGTCTTCCTTTATATTGTAAGGAGTCTTCTTCCCACTGATCACCAATGTAAGGGGCATCCTTCCCACTTGACCACCAACCCGATGGGCATCCTTCCCACTTGACCGCCAACCCGAGGAGCATCCTTCCCACTTGACCGCCAACCCGAGGAGCATCCTTCCCACTTGACCGCCAACCCGAGGAGCATCCTTCCCACTTGACCGCCAACCCGAGGCGCATCCTTCCCACTTGACCGCCAACCCGAGGAGCATCCTTCCCACTTGACCGCCAACCCGAGGAGCAGCCTTCCCACTAGACCGCCAACCCCAGGAGCATCCTTCCCACTAGACCGCCAACCCCAGGAGCATCCTTCCCACTTGACCACCAGAGTAAGGAGCATTCTTCCCACTGACCCCCAGGGTGGTCAGTGGGAAGAATGCTCCTTACTCTGGTGGTCAAGTAAGAAGAATGGTCCTTATGTTGATTGTGTCCATAGGAGGAAATTTGTTTCTTACATTAGTGGTCAGCGGGAAGAACAACCCACCTTACAGATAGCTAAAAAGATCACTGATATCATCTGTGATGGAGAAATTGTTCACTTCTGAAGCAACCTCTGGAGGGACCCCGACTGAGGAAGGCTGCAGAAATCCCAGAAAAACACGGCATGTCCTATATTTAAAAAAAAAATAGAAAAAAACCACATGCCCAGCTGCAGCGCAGGAATGAATGGGATTTACACAATGCAGTAAAAAAGGTATGCGCTTTTATTGCAGGAAAAACGGACAGGCGTGAATGGGCCCTGGAGGTTCAGAACGCAGGAAAAGACGAGATTAGATCTCCTTTCACAAAGTTATTAGGGAGGTTTTACTCGGCCTTGAGGTAATAAAAACACATATAGAATTTGGCCAGTTACTGAATTTCGTATGGTCAATTGTATACGCACTGAAAAAAAGACACGAAACTGCCAGATAAAGAGACAAAGCCCCGCGTAACTAGACAACGCGAGGGTATTGTGTGCAATCGTTCTACTCCGTTTGAACATGAAACGCGGCGTGTGCCGAAAAATGGCTGAAAATTGCCGCTTCTCATTGTTCACGGATTGTCATTCTTTTACTTAAATTTCCAATTTTTCATTACGAGTATCTCTGGCCAAAAAGAAAAAATAAATCTGTATTTCTATATATTCAATCCCACTCCTAATAGCCCAAGCCACCAGGATGGAGGCATCCAATGGCAGAGCACAGGTTGACCTCATCGGGCAGTCCAGCGGGCGCTGCTAGGTATTGCGGTACATCCCTGGCATACACGCACCCCTCAACAGGTTTATACCACGGGCTGTCACTGTGCCATCTGCCCGCGTCGTCTCCTCGCACAGACAGATCCTCCTGACCCGGAGGAGCGTGAAATAAAAAATTAGACACATTTCAGATGATTTCCCTCCTATGCAATCCAGCTCCTTAGTCATCAGCGCGGCACCCCCAGCGTGCCAGTCACTTTGTGCCAAGTCTGCAAAGCTCCCCCCGTTTCCCCCCTGACAGACAGAAGCGTGAAAGTGACAGACGCCGAGGATTCGCTTTGTCATCCGCAGCTGTTTTGGGGTTTCTCAGTCAGCGATTATGTAAATTAAAAGGCACGTATGACAATATGACCGCCGCTTGATGGAAAAGCGGTGCCACTTGGCTGGTGAGCGGGTTGATGAGCGCATCAAGTTGCAAATTCGGCACACTGGCAAAGCACGACTTTTTTAGCAAATGGAAATTTTACGCTCCTCCTAATCACGCCGCCTGTAAATGGTGTTCAAGTCTTTTATTTCCAAAGCAGGACTTTTCTAAACTGCCCCCCTCCCTGGCAGGAAGTCCCATTAAAGCCCAACCGCAGACAAAACAGGTCATTTTATTTTGGACAGAGAGCAGGGGGAAGGGGAGGGGCCACTCTGAGGTCATGGAGATTTACGCTCACTTCCTGTCAGGACA